AGAACCATGTCTCTTTAATTGTTATTTTTTTCCAGCGTTTCCTGTAATTGGGTTTCACCTGTTGGAAATAAATAAATAAATAAATAAATAAACAAATTAGATGCGGATTCTCTAGCGTACAGTGACCCCACGTACGCAAAATACGTGTTTTTCACATTAAATTAATAATTCTCAAGCCCTCAAACCTTAAATTGTACGGCTGGTGATAGTAGAATGCTTCCTATTATCAACCCTATAGATTACAACTGCTACAGCTCCTAAAAGAAACTTTCCGAAATTAAAAGTAATGAAATATATCTTAGGACTTCTTTCAGGAAACTTTGACTATCAGGCAGGTCTTCATAGGCTGAAAATTTCGAAACATCAAAATCGTTTTACGGTATGAGTGGCTCAATAAAAAAAATCTGGAAATAGATACGAGTAGATTGACTCGGTACTTTTCAAGAATTCACCTATGCTAATTTTAAAATTTTCCATGAGTCAAGATACGCCTTGCTAAAGAAACAAAGTGTTTGAACTCCACAATGCTCTTGAATATGCCATAATCTGAAGCCAATTTACCAAATTTTAAAAAATTGTAACCTCTCCCAAGATGTTTGAAATTTTGGATGATCTGTTTTATTGTTTTCACTCATAACACTGCTGCAAACGATTCTCAAAAACGAAGTATCATCACCTACTATCACCCCACATGGATTTGCGTGTTGTAGACATCGCAAAGAAAAAACTTTTAGCTGAATTTCTAAAATTTTTGCACTCACATTACTCCTCGCGCCACGAAAAACTCCACTCTCTCTTCAAAAATCTTGAGACTGGGTACATTTTTGCAAAAAGCTATCTCTTGTCGGTGATCCACCCCCTCTGACTTCTTTTTTTTATACTCCAACTACCACGAAGGCCTAAGGCCTAAGCACCCATTGGGTACCGTGGGGCTATAGCGGGATACATGGGAAGGGGGGAACGCCACACGGACTCTGGCGAGGGAACACGTGTGCATGCAACATGCGCACATTCTGGCTCCGCCTACAAGAACCGCCGGGTGGTACCTCCGTGTTCGACAGTCAGAGACCATCTACCACCTACGGACAATCACAACATCCATAGCCAAGAGAAAAATTTCTCCTGGGACGGGACTCGATCCCGCACAGCGCACGGCGACTGATCAGGAGACCGAAGAGTCTACTACTGCGGCCACCGCTGCTGCCTAGCCTCTGACTTGCTACGGGCGCTCATGGTGAATCCGTGTTAATTCATATTATTCAATGCAATGTTTCTTTTGTAAGAATCTATACTTCAAATTTTACCCTCCATTTGAGATTCGCCACAGTTTGGTGGCGCACCCTTACAAATTTTGATATGGGGCCCCTGCGGAGCAAGCTACGCCACTACATGTCCGATAGAATTCGAATGTCATTCTTTCTTTTCGAAAATCAGCAGAAGCCAAAATAGTTTTCAAATACCTCAAAACGCTTTGTGCGTTCTTAATTTTTATCACTTGTCAATAAACATTTTTGCAGGAACTTTTTAAGAACTCTTTATTTTGTGTTTCGCCGTCGTCCGACTTTCTAACAATCTTAAGTCATACTAAGGTTTCAGGTAGTTCAATATTTTTGAACTTAGACAAGTCTGGATTGTTGGAGTGGGAGATAACACTAACGTCGTCGATTTACATTATGAAAAAACCAATTTTTAAGACTTCTTGGACCTACTTGACATTTTCGTACAGCTTTAAATCATTCTGGAATACATGGTGGCGCATCGAAAACGAAACAGACGCATTTACTGGCAGCTCAGTTTTTTTTTTGGAAAAACGCTCAGACTCGTCGATTTTGTTTTCGAGGGGGACACAAGTTTGGCAAAAAATCACGTTAACACCTGCAGCCTCCTGGGCGGGGGTAACACTAACCCTAAAATCTTAAATGGAAAGGGGGGTCGAGTGATACCTTATTTTAAAGGTCTTTCAATTCTCTTTATAATGATATACAATTAATGTTCTTCAGTTCAGTATTTTTGAAGATTTATTGATTTAAAGCTTAAATAAAACTAATACATCATTATTAGTGGAGATCAATACATTTGGCAGCAAAGTAATTTAAAAATGAAGAATGAACTGACCCGTTAGGCAAGTAAATGTTGAAAATGGCCACCATGACTCTCCATGCAATAATAAAGATTTTGCTCAAAACTTTGCCGCACATTTTGCAATATTTGAGGAGTAATGTGAAGACACTCATTCACAATTCCTTGTCGCAGGTCTTCTAATGATTTTGGCTGAGTAGCATAGATTTTGCTTTTTAAATGACCCCACATAAAGAAATCCAAAGGTAATAAATCTGGCGATCTTGGGGGCTATTCAATGGTACCTCTTCTACCAATGCATCGATCTGGAAACGTCTGATCTAAATATTGTCGAACACGTAATGCGTAATGTGGTGGGGCATCATCCTGTTGGAACATCAACCTATTCGCAATGTACGCCGATCATTCTGATTTTCAATTATGGCTATTAATGCAGGATCTATGGCGTCTTCCAGTAATTCCAAATACATTTCATCGGTAAAATTTCCAGGTAAGAAAAAAGAACCAACTAAATAATCGCCAAAAATACCAGCCCAAACATTTAATTTCTGTGGCTGCTGTGTATGAACCTCATGATAAATTCTGGGATTAGAATCGGACCAATCGTCGGAAAAGCAAGTGTTGAATAGAAAATGGTCATCGTTTATAATTCGTTCACTCATATCTTCACAAAATTGTAATCGTCGATCAAAATCGTCTTCATTAAGCTCTTGTACCAGGTGAATTTTATACGGATGAAAACTATGGGCATTTAGAATCAGTTGGGCAGTACGTCGACTAACACCACACACAGTCTCCAATTTGCGGGTACTTAACGTAGGATCTACATAAACTTGCCCTAAAACCCCCACTTCTATTGCTTCGTTCCTTATGGGACTTTCAATGTTGCGTTTTTTATTGGCGACTGACCCAGTTTGCCGAAATTTAGCTACAAGTTCTAGAACATATTTTCGATGCACGTTACAGTTCTCATGTCGATGTCGCTCATTAAATATTTCTGCTGTTCTATTAGCGCACTGATTATTTCCGAAAAATATTTCGATACTTTCAACTCTTTCAGCTGTGGTTAATTTATGTAATAAAGCGTTACAAGTTATTTTAGCAACAAAGTTTGGTCAAATCAATCGCAAACTATGTACTAAATTCCTATTTAAAATAAGTACGAGATATTTCCTTATCGTTCTTCAAGAAATAACTGTTTTGCCACAATAAAAACGCTCCAATAGCTATTTTCAACAACACAATTAACCGTGGGCGTAGTGAAGAAAAGCATTTACTTATTAAGCAAATTCTTTTAATCAAATTTCTGCTGAAAGTAGTACAAACTAATCTGATGTACCTATTAAAGTCTACTTTTAGCTTTAAATCAATCTTCAAAACTACTGAAGTGAAGCTCATGTATTTTACATCATTATAAAGGGAATTGAAAGGCCTTTAAAATAAGGTATCACTAGACCCCCCTTTCCATTTAAGATTTTAGGGTTGGTGCCATCTCCGCCCAGGGGGCTGCACGTGTTAACGTGTCCCCCTCGAAAACAAAATCTAAGGGTCTGAGCGTTTTTCCAAAAAAAAAACTGAGCTGCCAGTAAATGCGTCTGTTTCGTTTTCGATGCGCCACCCTGTATAGTATCGATGCAGCCATTTCATCTTCCCGAATTTCAGCTGGATAACTTGGCCCCTTCAAAAAACAATTGAGTGAGGTCTTTTTGGAAAGCATTGTTCATATAGATATACGGATTAAAGCCTGAGTATCTTATTGAATCTTTCTTCTGTACAACGTCGTTGTCTACCGAGCACATGTTCATAGAAAGAGGATGTGTCTTAGCTTTTTAGGGAAAAACAGAAGCGAAACCTGATATTTTTTCTTTCTCGGGCATGTCGGCATGTCAATGTTTGCCTATTTTACTAGGAAGTTATTCTAATTGCGGACTACGAACATTCTTCCGCAATTTTTTGATCGGCTTCGTCAACACCCACTACACAAGTGTTTTTGAGGAAAGATATCCTCATTAGTTCTGGGGTTCTTCTAAGTCGACTCCAACTATAATTATCGATTATGGCCTAAACAGGAGTATACCATCACCGCATAGCGAATTGGTTTTTCTATCTTCAAATGTTTGTCGCGCAGGATTGAACTTCTGACAAAATTATGTACTTTGTTACTTGCTGGTAGCTTCAACCCATTTCAGAGTATCTGATCGGGTTCAACAGATAACACGAGGGATGTCTGTTAAGTTTTGCATATATAAATATAGTATGCCGCCCGGATCAAACGTCAGTATTGAATCTTAACCTCACTCTTTAGTAAACTTAAATTCAAAGTTTCACAACAATACGTGCAGTGTTCTCACTACAGTGAATTTTTAAGTGTCACCAAGTGATCAGAAAAATGGAACTCAACTGAGAACATTTTCGCGCCATAATTTATTACAACTTTCAGAGACAATTATCGCAACAAGAATGCCTTGCTGACTTGCTGTCTGTTTTCGGCAACGAAGCGCCACATCAGCCGACAATTTCCCGTTGGTATGGAGAATTCAAACGTGGACGGGTGAGTCTTAGCAACGATCCCAGGGTGGGTGCACCAAAAACGGCAGTCACCCAGGAGAACGTAGATGCTGTACGCAAACTCATCATTGAAGATAGACATGTGACATATCGACAGATTGAGGATTAGTTTCTCGTTAGATACCCCACCTGTTGACTGAAGAGCAGAAAATATTCAGGATTAATTGGTGTCAAAAAACGCTTGACGGTTTCAATTCCGGAAACTCAAAAAATGTGTACAGCATTGTTAGTGGTGATGAATCGTGGATGCACTGTTATGAACCAGAAAATAAACCTCAGTCGGCTGTTTGGGTGTTCCAAGGTGAAGAAAAGCCAACAAAAGTCAAAAGCAGGGTCATATTGCAACAATTCCTGTTAATGAGCAAAGAACTGTTACTGCGGATTGGTATACCACCATTTGTTTGCCAAAAGTCATCAACGAGCTTCGAAAAATTAACCCCGAAAGAAGAATCATCCTCCACCAAGACAATGCAAGCTCGCACACAGCCCAAAAAACAACGCAGTATTTAATGGATGAACACGTGGAATTATTGGACCATCCTCCATATAGTCCCGATCTAAGTCCTAACGATTTCTTTACTTTCCCGAAAATTAAAAACAGACTGCGTGGTCAAAAGTTCCAGTCACCAGAAGAAGCAGTTGACGCATTCAAAAATGCCGTTTTGGACCTGCCAGCAAACGAGTGGAATAAGTGCTTCGAAAATTAGTTCGAGCGCATGTATATGTGTATTAATCTTCGTGGAGAATACTTCGAAAGACAATAAAGTCCTGTAAAACTACCTACAGTGTTGTTTTATTTCCATATGCAAAATTTAAAAGACGTAATGAACTCGGAACTCATATTTGTATACATTAACGTTCCTTGACATCTTAGGATCAGTGTTTCAATTGTTTCCAGATTTGCTGTCCAGGATTATGTGCGATTTTATTCGCAAAACCTCTCGAGAGTAGAGCTTTTCAGCAACTTTCAGACATCGTAGATACATAATTCTCTCCATCAAGAGAAAATCGCAGATATTCCTATGCAATGAAAAATATTTTTCATAGATAAATCTAGCAGCAAACAATCATACACATAATATTTTGATGACCTAATTTGTAAGAAAAAATCACGTCATTTGGAAATGTCTAAGTAAGGCGTCTGACGGAAATGAAACAGTAACAAATATACGTATATTATTTACCATACAAATTGTTTTGGTCAGATAAAAAAATTGTTCTAGGAAAGCAGAGATAAGCTCGCCGTAAATTGTTTTTTAACCATCGTACGTGTGCGTGTGGTCTGAAACGTGGCTACATGACCCAAAATCCACCAAATAAAAAATAAATTATGATTTGTGATACCGAAAAAGTGTTCGTCATTTAATCCTTCAGAGTAATTATACTTTTTGTCTAATTTAAGTATAGCAAATATTGTGTTCTGTTTTTACAAACACTGATAGAAATCGATGTGCGGTATGTTTTAGTCACTAAGCAATCAAGTACAGACGGTACTCTAGAAGTTATTTAGGAAAACATAATCGCGACAGATTTGATATATGATATAGATTTTGGATGTTATATTATATGTACGTCACGAAAAACCATGTCACTCATTTCCGTCGGTCTAGCTCTGTTTCTCGGTCTGTCTGTCTGTTCGCTAAATAATCTTTGGCCAGTCTATAATTTTGAAAGTACTTCTTCGACTGGGGCGAATTTTTCACACAAAATTACTACCATTCCAAGGACAAACAAACCTCATAGTTTTTCAAAATCGGTTCACTGGGGGCAGAAGACGAAAAGAATAAAAAATAAAACTTCCTTTTGTGACGTTATAGAAAAAAGCGTGTTTTTTTAGTTTTTTTAAACTATTATTTATTATAGTTGGTCATGGGGTAGATCTTGAACATATGTCCCAGAATATGTAATTTCATTAAGTTTCATACCTTTCTAACAGCATGAAACAAAAATTCAACTAAAATGCTACAATATTTTGAGTTTTGTTACAAGAACATTTCCAAAACTCCTAAAATCATAACTATGGTTTTTCAAGGCTTTTTTCCCGGTTAAACCGGATACGTCGATTCAAAGACGAGCTCTGAACGAAGTCAATCCTTGGGTAAATAGTCTGCGTACTCGTAGATATCGAATCTGATGTCAATTTGACCCACGGCACGCTCAGACCTATATTTTGTGGTCTTCTATGAGGGAATTTTTAACGGGAAAAACGGCTTTGTTCCTCTATTACATTGGTAATTTTTGAGATACACGGACTTAGCCTTCCGTACTTCACTTTAGGTTGACAGTAAGACGCTGGAATTATGAGGATGAAGAGTGTGCTTTAGAAAAGAGGTCGACTTTGCATTTTCCAAGCAACGCTGTCTTCACTTAACTAAGCATTACGTGCGGCACAGCTATCATGAGAGAAAAGGCAGCTAAGAACATGCGCAATAAAAAAATTAAATAGATCAAGTCAGCCAGACAGAACCATACAATAAGTCCATAGTCTCCACCCATTTGATAACGCCGCGATCGAGAAATTTTTTGTCTGGCTTACCGACAGGATCGACCATCTGGCAACGTTGCTGAACCACACCAGGTATCCATGCTATAAGCCCGCACCAGCGTTGAGCGGTCGGGCGCAGACAGGATTTTGGGCATGTAGGTATACTTTCGTAGCGCTATCGCGGTATCGGTCGCAGGACGAAAATTAAGTACACGGAAAAAAATTTTATGTGTGAAATATGTAAGAATAGGCAGAAGTGTATAAATATGCTACTGAAAAATAGATATACCTGTATCCCCAACTGCAACCCTCAGTTGTTAACCCCTACAGGAGCCCTTGGAGTTTGTGCGATTTTACTATTTTTCATAGCCTGTATCTCCGCTGTGACTGGATCGATTTCCAAAAACTAGAAAGTCTGCTTCTCCTTGGCGTAGTAGTAACTTCGTGTGAAAATTTCATCAAAATTCGAGTGACACTTTCCAAGTTACAGAGGGGTCAGTGATAGATAGATACGTGTTATCTCCCTTTCGAAATTTTTCGCGATTGCAGTGCCATGTGAAGTGAAATGAAGATCTTGCTTTTTAGACCGGGAGCTGTGGGCAAAAAAGGGGGGTCATGTGATACAGCAGGAAACCTACTCAGAACGATAGTACTACATGAAATAATAACTTCTAGCACTCTGCCGTCACTTGAGAGCGGTACATGTAAGTAGAGGGGAAAATAGAATTTTCTGTCCAGAAGGGGTCGGAAAAGACTAAATGATTTTTTACGGCTTTCTTTGGTATCACAGCTGCCTACAAAATAATCACGATGCACTTAGTGCCGTACGGAAATAATGATGCCGGAAACCATACAAAATTTTTAATTTTCAGGAAATTTTCTATGCGAAAAATTCATTAATTAACGTACAGAATTGTTACAGTTACCTTTCTGTAATTTTTTACACTTAAAATTTACCAACGCCGTACATATCTGCTGGTACAGGGGTGAGAAAACTTGGGTCGCAACCCCCTACCCTTATATAGTATAATGGTGGTGAATTGATACAATTTAAAATTAAATAATTTTAATAGTATTTGATTAACGACAATTTTTATAATGCCGTACATTTTTCGTGGAATATATGGCCACACGGGGAAAACCTCGAAAACCCTCTATAACATGTTTATACTTTATATTTTTGAAGGATATTTCAAATTTCGATTGTAATTTAAGATTTAACTATGATTTAAGAGTGATTTAAATCAGTTAAATCGTGTCGGTAGCCCCTCGATATTTTCTATTAAATTAAAATAATAAAGTTCGCACTGTTGAGTAACAGTCCGTGTATAATTAATAATTAGTAAATTTTGGTATTTTTAAATGAACTTGAATAATAAAAATCTAACGATTTTCTGTGAAATCAGTCACGCGAACTTTTTAGATAATAAGATTTAAAATTATCCGTCTTTTAACAAATAAAGCTTTGTTGTGAAGCTTTTATAATGAAAAAATACTATTATTTAATAGGCAATTGCAAATTGTACTTTTGCTAATTAGCAATTGCATTAATTACAATATTTGAATATTATAATTAGCGATTATAAGAAGAAGGTCATTAATACATTTATGTACCGCTCTTACATCGCAAAGTTCTATTATCTTGTTGTCAACTTTCAGGCGCACAGCAAGTAACCGAGTCTCAAAATCGCACTCTAACTGCATATTTCTCAGAACTTCACCATTTTATACGTAATGTTCCATGTAAAATGAACGACATAATTTTTCATAATCATTTATAGTTATAAATATAATTTTGTTCATGCCATACAGTATTTATTAACCATTAGAGATACCTAAAACTTAATCAATATTTTTATCTTTGATAAACATAAAATAGCAAGAATAATTTTTAATATCACCTTTGTTATTAATAAATAGTACCTACATTTAAAAATCTTTAAATTTTTTGAAAATTTGTATTTTTTTTATTTTAATATATTTTCATGTTGTTCCATTTGTTATAAACGGCTACGTGGTAAAATGATAATATTTAATATAATTTTGTAAAAAAATTGATTGCCGTATAGTATCCTATGATTTTATTGTAAGAAAATGATATTGCACCCCCAATTTTGGTAATTATTTATCTATATTTATATGAACTAAATTTTTAATACGGCATTATTATTTAAAGTTATTTTAGATGTTAGACAAGAGATTGAAATGAGTGCCGTACATTTTCCGATGACTTTCCACCAAAGAGGTCTAAAGCAGGGGTTGCGACCCGAGTTTTCTCACCCCTGTACCAGCAGATATGTACGGCGTTGGTAAATTTTAAATGTAAAAAATCACAGAAAGGTAACTGTAACAATGCCGAAAGTTAATTAATTAATTTTTCCGTATAGAAAATTTCCTGAAAATTGAAATTTTTTTATGGCTTCCGGCACCATTATTTCCGTACGGCACTAAGTGCTTCGTGATTATTTTGTTGGCATCTGTGATACTAAAGAAAGCTGTAAAACATCATTTGGAGCAAACTTTCTTTCAATGATTGATCTAGATATATCCCAATTTTCGAACACCGTATGACCAGATTTTGAGAATTGAAACATTGTAAACCACATCCTAGACCTGGCAAACCACGAGCAAATGCATTGAATAGTAAAACAAAACAACATCCTATCAAGCATCCCGGATTATGCAAGCATGTTTTACGATTTTTTTAAGATCATTTCTCAAGAAAATGATCGTAAAAAGGCAGTAGCGGTAGAAGTAGGTTAACAACAAACGCCGAACGAACATTTTTATAAATAGGCCGGGCAGCAGGACATATCAAAACAGCGAAACTGGGTCAACTATTGCAATCTGCAGGCAGTGATAAAAAATGTTTTTCTCGTAAAACTTTTAGTTCGGCTCGTTGTTTGTTTTTGTTCTGTTTATTAATAAAAAGTTTCGAAATGGATATTTTTAGCCGCGCCTCGGATTCCGCTATTATTTTTTTTTGTGGGAGTCCCGATATCCAAGGACCGACTCGGGCGTCTATTAGTTATAGTTTTTATACAGGATGCACATTTTTGAGCAGAAATATTTGTTATCGTGAAGATACGGTTCCATTACAATAAATGTGCGCGTCATCAAGCATTTGTGCATGTTGCCGAACAAGTAAACCGAAGCAGCCAAGTAGGTAAACACCTAACAGGAGCTTAAATAAACTTCGTTATTCTGATTTTTGAACTGCCTAATGTTAGTAGAACTTCTCACGCAGATAGTTCC